CAGAGGTTGCACCTGGAGTTAGAAGATTCGTCGAGCAGCACTTAACGGATATTTGCGCGGTACTCGAGCAGCTGCACGATGCGAATCTAATAGTCAGCGGAACAAAGAGCCGATGGGCCGTCTCGACTATTAAGATCTTGGGCTTTATCTGTGACTCGAGGGGACGCCGAGCAGATCCGGCGAAGTTAGACAAACTCCTGAACTGACCGTCACCATTACATAGTCCAACCGAGGTCCGACAGTTTTTGGGAGTGGTCGGTTACTGGCGAATATTCATACGAGGGTATGCAGAGAAGGCTAGCCATTTAGACTACTCCTTCGAAAAACTGAGAAATTTTACTGGGATTCCTCGCAGGAACTCGCTATGCAAGAGCTTAAAGATGAATTTAAGGAGGGAGGATGCGTACTGGGCGTGCCGTACTTTGATGATGAGGCTGGGAGACCCTTCATAGTAGCCACGGATGCTGGGCCTTATTTGGTAGGAGGGTTGCTGTCTCAGAAGGACGCTGAAGGGAAGGAAAGACCATTAAGATTTGAGAGTAGGACACTTAATATGGCAGAGCGAAACTACAGTCAATTCAAGAAGGAAGTATTAAGCTGTTCTGCGGTGTCTGGACACGTTGAGACATTATATCTATGGACGACGGTTCATCTTGAGAGTGAATCCCACCGCGGTCGCCTCTGTCCTCCAGAAGGACTTTAGCCTGACAGACCCGACCATTGCACGATGGTTAATACGGATTCGACTATATGATTACACAGTAGAGAGGATATCTGACACTAAAAATGTCGTAGCAGATGGGCTCTCTCGGATCCCTCTTGAGGGTGAGCGCCCGATAGTAGCTGGAGCCCTGACAATGGCAGAGCCGAGACGCGCCGAGAGATTTCTAATTAATCTTTATGAGGGCAAGTACTGAACGATCGGACTACACCTGACGGGAGAGGAGAGTCAAAATTTAGATATCCGGAGACAAGCAGCCTAGTACTGCCTTAGAGCGGGCCACTTTTTTCGAAGGCCAGTAGGGTCGGGGATGCCCTTACGAGTAGTCTGTGATCCTGAAGAGAAACAGACGATAGTAGCGGAGCTTCACGACGGGGTGGTCGGAGGACATAGAGGAGTCAGAGGGACCTACGAAAAGGTACGCAAGCTGTACTGGTGGGAAGAACAGTATAAGGACGTCGAGAGATATTGTATGACCTGCGAAGAATGCCAGAATAGAGCTCTTGTGAAATACAAAGAGCCACTTCATCCATCCTATCCGACCAGACCAGGAGAGAAGGTACACATCGATCTAGTGAAAATGCCGAAAGGGGTAAGCAATATGAACTACGTCGTGAACATACGAGACGATTTCACTGGGTTCGTGGACGGTAGACCTATCAGGAGTAAGGCGGCAAAGGAAGTAAGGAACTTTGTCCTAGAGTACTTATCTAGGTATGGTTGTGTCAGCAAGATAGTGATGGACAGAGGGGCGGAATT